TTTTTTACACTAACCTTTTGATTATTTATATGATCCGTGAAGGTTGGCCCATCCTGAGAGGATGACAATTAAGTACCTGTTAGTAACTTTCCTGTAACATTCATAGTTTATCCGATATTAGGTGTACCCATCGGGGTTGCCACAGTTCAATCGCTGGCTGTGTCTGTAAATGAAAATGCCTTACATTTATCGACCGCCATACCTCGTGTTCTCATGACTAATGACTATACGTTGATACATGGAGCACATGTATCTAACGGCCAGGGTGTTTACTGCTATGTAGCACGTTTTTCAACAGGTTAGAAATCCTTCTGTATTTGAAACACAACACTTGAAATAATAGATATTTTGGTGAGTTGTTGATTTGGTCAGCAAGTCACGACAACTATGCGATATTCAAAATCTTATTTTCCTGCTGTCATGGATCATTACGAAGCCTTGAGCTGTCTTGGAACATAATTGATTTTAAAGTGACACCTATCGTACAATGAATCGTTTGCCAACCTCATGTGCGTTGTCGCCCGTGGTGAATAAGCAGCACTGACTTATGCATTGCTATTTTTGCTACTTATCTCAAAAATTCATTATTCACGTCTACTATCGCATTCTCTTCGAGCACCTGCTGGTTCGTTAGTCGGACGAATGAAATTTAGTAAATTCATACATCAGCCCGCCCCCATATGTAGTTCGAGCTCTGAAGTACTCTAGAATAAATGCAACGTTAATAAAATAGGATGTATAGTTGACTTCGGTCTTATGAGCTCTCAACTTTTGCAGATGCACTTCCTTCTTCACCTCTGCATATTAAACTCTAAAACGAACCACCATAGTTTAAGCATTGCTTCTTGTTCAATATCGGAGCGCTTTGTCGAGGCTGACTTATTTTTCACTTATAATTACATCATTGGGTTTTTTTAGTAGCTTTGAGAAAAAATCGAATAGTCTTTATTTTGATTCACCTTTGCACACGCCATGGATTAGCGCTGTTTTGTGCATTGCACGAAAGCGCACAAAAGTACTTTCAAGCAGTTTTGTGCCGTTGCATTTACATTATATACTTACAGTTAAGTTAAATAGCTCATTCTAACATATCATTACTGGATTTTCTGATCAATTCAAAGTGTTAACCAAGGCCTTTCCAAGCAGATATAGTGTAGGTAGCTTGGAGCTGTGAGCTCGCACGATCACGCTTCAACATACATTAACGGCGTGCGTTTTGTGTTTAGTAACAACAAAAAAAAAATATGGCCAAATATATATTTATTTACAGAATGTACCAAAGCACGAAACCTGGATATAAAATCTAGAGGATTTTATATCCACAATATTTATAGAGCCGAAGACACGACATCGTATTGAACCCTTTTCGACCATTGTTCTGGGCTCTACAGAATAACAAAAAGGCCACTTCATCAAACGAATCTTATCATAGAGCTTATGCACACTGACCTACTTTAGCATATGATTTTGTTGAAAGCAAACAAGTGCAATCTGTGGCTGGGGCAGTTTTTATGAATTCTAAAACTCTTCCTTCGGTGCAAGCGAACGCTTCTAAGCACGTGAACGAGGAAAATACGCAGGCCCAAGCAAGTAAACACCAGAGGGGTCGCTGGCTCATGACAAAGCTAATCACGTGGTACATGTGAAGCTGCTGAAGGTACGCGGCAACTCTGCCAATTTGTCACCAAAGTCAAACGAATAATGAGACACAAATTTGGATTCAACGCAATGACAAAATGGTAAGCAAACGGACGGTAAATAACTGTGAAATTTGGTTCTGGAGCCATTATGCTTTCAGCGTCTCACGGTGGGCTCGGCACCACTTG